CTGGGCTAGTGGGGGCAGCGGGTCGGGATTGAGGGGCACTGGTAGGGCAGAGCTGGGGGGACCCTAGGGCTGGGCTAGTGGGGGCAGTGGGTCGGGATTGAGGGGCACTGGTAGGGCAGAGCTGGGGGGACCCTAGGGCTGGGCTAGTGGGCGCCGTGGGTCGGGATTGAGGGGCACTGGTAGGGCAGAACTGGGGGGACCCCAGGGCTGGGCTAGTGGGGGCAGCGGGTCGGGATTGAGGGGCACTGGTAGGGTAGAGCTGGGGGGACCCTAGGGCTGGGCTAGTGGGGGCAGCGGGTTGGGATTGAGGGGCACTGGTAGGGCAGAGCTGGGGGGACCCCAGGGCTGGGCTAGTGGGGGCCGTGGGTCGGGATTGAGGGGCACCAGCAGAGGGGTCTGTGCTGTTGGTGGCTCCTGCCCGTGCTGTACCTGTCTCCAGCTCCTTCCCCTCACCCCTTTGCTGGCATCTCCGGCTCCCCTGCAGGGTCCCTGACCGAGTGCTACGACGAACTGGGGAACCGCTACCAGCTGCCCGTGTACTGCCTGGCGCCACCTGCCAACCTCATCCTGGAGCGGGGCGGCGACGAGAGCACGGAGCCCCTGGAGCCGGCGCCCAGCGCCCGGCGTGAGTTCCCGCTCAAGGTGCGGCTCTCCACCGGCAAGGACCTGCGGCTGAGCGCCAGCATGGCCGACACCGTGGGGCAGCTGAAGAAGCAGCTGCAGGCGCAGGAGGGCATCGAGCCGGGCTGGCAGCGCTGGTTCTTCTCCGGCAAGCTGCTGACGGACCGCACGCGGCTGCACGAAGCCAAGATCCAGAAGGACTTTGTCATCCAGGTGATCGTGAACCAGCCGCTGGTGCCCAGGAACTGAGCCGGGCCGGCTGACGGGCGCAGGGGCTGCTGGGCCCCAGGGAAAGCAAGCAGGGCCCTCGGAGCCGGCGAACTGAGTCTCCACCCCAGAGGCAACAGCCCGCACTCGCCTGCTGGGCACGGCTGGGCACACAGCCCCGGGCAGAGCCGCACCTGTGGGGCTTGCGCTCGCCTCTGCGCTGCGTCGATCCTCCCCGCCCCTTCGTGTCTGCTGCTGCCCCTGCTGCAGCCGCGGGGCGGGGGCTCCCTGCCATCAGAACACGGCGGCCCCCTCAAAGCCCTGACCCTGGAGGCGGTCTGTACCTGGCAGTCTCGGGAAGGGCTGCCGGGGTGGGCGGGGCCGCGGGATGGGCGGGGCCGGTCTCACCCCATCAGCACTTGGACGCTCTCATAAAATGGTTTCGAGATTTGAGACCAAACCTCTTCCTGTGGGAGCCGCATTCTCAGGACGCCGGGAACCTGCGGTGCCCAGGGCACCTGGCACCTCGGGCTGCCCTCCTGAGCCCAGCTCCTGGGGCGAGCCAGCCTGGGCACTCCGCCCTGCCACATGTCGCCTGGCACCTCCCAGGCAGGCCGGGCGCTGGGCGGGGCCGGGCAGGGTGCAGCTCTCCCGGTGTCTATGGGTCTGCGTATTTATCAATAAAGCCT